GAGTACATCGTGGAGCATGTTAGTTTAGAGACACAGATTTTCAACTATACTAGTTACACTAACAATATTCTCTATAGAGCTCGAGATAGCAGTTCTAGAATGCTGTTTTTATATACATACACATACACATATATATTCATTTTTTTTTCTATATTTAGAAAAATATTTCGTATATGCATATCAGAGTTTAAAAACTGAGACTTACGTTGTTACATAATTTGCATTTATAACCATTTTCTTGTGCTATAAAATAAGATAATACTTCAGTTCTGGTCAATAGTCCAGTCGAGTTTTGTTTAATCATTAGAATATTGTTTGTTAACATTTCATCATCGTCAGATTGATCCGATGGAAGAAGATCTTGATAAGTCGTGCTATCATTATTGTTACTTTGGTTAATACCACCATTATCATCAGATACCATTGTTGAATAACTAATAGAACTAGTTGTTGTACCTTGAGTATCAGTGCCACCTGGATTTCGTTTACGAGCATTTAATTTTGGTGAATAATTATTAGCAACACCACCAGATATTGTTCGATGGATATTTAATTGATTTGATAATGATGGTCTTTTCGAAGATTTGTCTGAAAGACGAACACTTCGTCGAGTATCAGTTGTAATTAATGTATTGATTGATGAATAATTTGTATAAATATCACTTGATGATGTTGCAGTTGTTAATGGCTGTGAAAGAGTAGTAATATTGCTAATACTACTACTAGTTGTATTTTCAACATCGTTTGCAATCATGTCAAAACGAATAAAAGAAAACAAAATAATAACGGTTACAATTTAATTTATCTATTATCTAATATATTGATTTTTTGAAAGCTCTTGATTGGCTCGTTTCTCCACGACTCAACTCGCCTTATTTATTACACATGTTATTTTAAACAAACTTTAATAGATCAACTATATACAAATTTACCAGTTTCATTAGATTTAAAACCATCTGGTGTTGTATTTCCAAAACTAAATATTGATATAAAGATCGATAGATGTCCTCACCAGCTTCCATGTTGTCTTTGAAAAGTGGCATTATCTATTATATTAATATACACTT